TTGGCTGGCTGTGGGGTTGGGATGATCCTGGGAAGGTTCTTGGCTGGCTGTGGGGTTGGGATGTTCCTGGGAAGGTCCTTGGCTGGCTGTGGGCTTGGAGGGCTGGAGAGGGCATGTGAGGGAGGGAATTGCCCTTTATCCATCTCTGGAGTTGTCCTCTGAGACAGAAGCGATGGGAGCTGTCCCTGAAGTTGGGCTCCAGTGCCTCCATGTCCCAGTTCAACCTCTGGCCCTACTGGGCAGGACTGGACTCTCCACAGACCCCAGAGAGAGGTTTGGCCACTTTGGCTTTTCCACACGGGCACAGCCTTGATCTCTGCTGAGCCTGGAACCAGCTGTGCTCTCGGATTTTGGGGGTCATGCTAGGGAAATGCAGCAGCAGCAGCTTCACTCTCCCCTCCTGTCCCCGTTTCAGATTTTGAGCCGGAGCCGGGGCTGGACACGGCCGTGAGCCTGACCACGGACACGCTGGTGACGCTGCCCACCACGGCGGCCGTGCTGCCCGTCACCGCTGCCCAGCCTGTGGCAACGCCCCTGGAGCCATCCCCCACCCCTCAGGACACCACCCCCGGGCAGGCCACCAGCACCTTCCTCATCCCCAGGACCACAGAAGCGCCGGTGGTGCCCAGCTGGAAAGCCACCACCACCAGCACCACGGCCAGCGAGCCCCCAACCACCACGGCCACCACCACCACTACCATGGCCACCACCACCACCACCACCACCACCACGGAGGCCACCACGACCACGAGCAGCACCACCGTGGCCACGGCCAAGCCCACCACCATCCGGAGGTTCCTGCCCCCCTTGGCCACCAAGGCAGCCACCACCCGGGCCACCACCCTGGAGACCCCCACCACACCCGTCCCCGAAACCAGCATGCCAACAGAGGTGGCCACGGCACGCCTTGTCCCCACCAGCATGGCCAAGCCCAGGGCCCTGCCAAAGCCCAGCACCTCGAGGACTGCAGAGCTCCCCGAGAAAAGCACGGCCTTGCCACCCACGGCCACCACGCTGCCGCCCACAGAGGCTCCCCAGGTAGGAGGCCAGAGCCCTTCTCAGCTGCTCGGGGCTCCTGGGCTCCGTGGGAAGCCAAGTGGTGGCCAAGGGAGGCCTTTGGTGCCCATCCATCCTCGGCACTTGCTCTGAGGGAGGTCGAGGCAGGCTGGGCTCTTCGGAGCGGAACGTCTGGGGAGCTGGAAGGAGGCAAAGGGGGAGTTCAGCCCAGGCAGGGGCTCAGGCTCCTGGGGGCACCCAGGATGTGCCACCAAGCCCGGTGACCCCCGCACTGCCTTCTTCAGAGCGGCTTCCCCAGGCAGGAGGTGCCACATCTCGGGGACACAGCGACTTCTCCCGGGTTTGGTGTCATGTCCCAGCTCCCGGGAGTCCCAAACTCTCCTCAATTAAGGCTTGATGGTGCATTTCCAGCCCATCGGGTGTCCTGAGCAGGAATTTCAGCTCCCTCTCGCACTCAGAGCCCCTCAGGGGCCCTTTGCAGCCGCTTTGACTGAAAGGTGGAGTGATTTGTCTAAACTACTCTCTCTTTTCCGCCCGCAAATGCGCGCTCGGAGCGCTCGGGGCTCTCGTTGACCTTCAATTAATCCCTGTCACAAAGGCGGCCGCTCGTGGGAAGCGCTGAGCCGTGCGCTGGCCCCGGGGCAGCGGGACATGGACACCGCTCCCACCCCGCCCCAGACAGCTCCCGGCTCATCCCCAATCCCGGCTCATCCCGAATCCTGCTTTGTGACCGAGGCGGGCGGGAAGGAGCCGTTTGTCCCGGCAGGGAGGGATCCGGGCTCGGGGATGCTCCAGCTGCACGGACACACCGAGGGACAAGGGGGAAGGTGCAGGAGGTTTGGTCCCGAGGGGATGTGCAGGAGGCAGGGAATGGATCAGGGATGGGATGCAGGGGGTGGGATGGATCATATTCCCAGGCAATACTTGCCCTCGAGGCCGGGATCCCCTCCTTGCCGAGGGAATTGGGCAGGGACAGCAGGGAGCTGGGCTGGGTGACAGCCCTGCAGCCCGGGTGACAGCCTGACAGTCCTGCAGCCTGGGTGACAGCCCTGCAGCCCGGGTGACAGCCATGCAGCCCGGGTGACAGCCCTGCAGCCCGGGTGATAGCCCTGCAGCCCGGGTGACAGCCATGCAGCCCGGGTGACAGCCCTGCAGCCCGGGTGGCAGGACCCATCGTCCTGCTCCTGCCCTGTGCAGCAGGAAGGGGAGAAAGGAAGGGGGAAGGGACCCCTGGAGCTCATCCAGCAGCATCCGATCCTTCCCTTTGCTGTGCTGGTGTGGCACGGATGTTGTGTCACCTCCTGTTAGGAGTGAGTCACCTTCCAGCGGTGGCATCCAACCTGTGCCCTGGGGACAGTGCCCAGTGAAGGGTCTGGGATGGGATACTGGAGAAATCCCTCCCTCCTGTAAAGGTGGAGGGTCTGGAATGGGATCTCTTTGGGAGAACTGCAGGGAACAGGTCCTGGGATGGGGACAGAGAATGGCCCAGCTCAGCCACGGTGGCCTCAGCCGTTTGGTGACCAAGTTGTAAGGTTGTGTTGTCACTGCGATACAGCTTCAGTAGCACAGGGAAGGGACACCCCAACGTTGTCCCCATGTCCCCCACCCTGTCCTCAGTCCAGCGATGTCCTCGCTGTGGACACCCTTTGGTCCTTGTCCCCTGCTCCACCTTGTCCTTTCTCCCAGATGGAGCCAGGGGAGGTGACAACAGCCCCTGACAAGGAGCCAGAGGTCCCGGCCAGCAGCGGCCCCAGCGGGGACTTCGAGATCCGGGAGGAGGAGGAGACGACTCGCCCCGACCTCGGGAACGAGGTGATGGCCGTGGTGACGCCGCCGGCGGCGCCGGGGCCCGGCAGGAACGTGGAGACAGGGCTGATGGACAACACGATAGACTCAGGCAACTCGGCTGCTCAGCTGCCCCAGAAAAACATCCTGGAGAGGAAAGAGGTGTTGATAGGTGAGATGTGGGGCTGGAGGTTTGGGGGCACAGGGAGCTGGGCTGAACCGGGAGAGGGGACAGTCCTGGGATAACCCACACCCACCTCCTGAAATTGCTCCGTGGGCTGTCCCGGGGCCTCCATGCCTTTGCCAAGACAGCTCTTCACAATTTCCTTCTACTGAGATGGATTTCCAGGGAAAAAAAAAGAGATTTTAGTGCAAAGATTTTCTGTGGTCATAGCTCAGCACCCAGTGCTGCTCCCAACCTTCCAAAGCCGAAAACCAGGCTGGAATCCCGAATGATCCCCCCAAAGAGTGGTAGTGCTGAGCCTGGTATAACCCACACCCACCTCCCAAAACTGCTCCATGGCTCTGCGGGGGTCCCAGGGGTCTCCAGGCCTTTGCCGGGAACGTTGTCCACAGTTTGTGCTGAGATGTGACAAAGATGTGCTGCGGTGACCCAGCCCCTGCTGAGAGGCTGCTCCCGGAATTCCAGAGCCCAAAACCAGGCTGGAATCCCAAAGGATCCCCCCAGACTCTGCTGGAAGCCGGGCTGGGGATGGTGGTGGCACTGAGGGCAGGGGGTGGCACTGACAGTTGATGGTGACACTGAAGGCCATGGGGTGACATTGAGGACCAGAGTGGTGGCACTGACAGCTGTGGGTGGCACTGATGGCCATGGGTGGCACTGAGAGCTGTGGGTGGCACTGACAGCCATGGGTGGCACTGATGGCCATGGGTGGCACTGACGGCCTTGGGTGGCACTGACAGGTGTGGGTGGCACTGACAGGTGTGGGTGTCACTGAGAGCCGTGGGTGGCACTGACAGCCGTGGGTGGCACTGATGGCCATGGGTGGCACTGACGGCCTTGGGTGGCACTGACAGGTGTGGGTGGCACTGACAGCCGTGGGTGGCACTGAGAGCTGTGGGTGGCACTGATGGCCATGGGTGGCACTGAGAGCTGTGGGTGGCACTGAGAGCTGTGGGTGGCACTGATGGCCATGGGTGGCACTGAGAGCCGTGGGTGGCACTGAGAGCTGTGGGTGGCACTGACAGCCGTGGGTGGCACTGACAGCCATGGGTGGCACTGAGAGCCGTGGGTGGCACTGAGAGCCATGGGTGGCACTGACAGCCGTGGGTGGCACTGAGAGCCATGGGTGGCACTAACAGGTGTGGGTGGCACTGACAGCCGTGTCCCCTGCGTTGTTGCAGCGGTCATCGTGGGTGGCGTGGTGGGCGCCCTTTTCGCCGCCTTCCTGGTGATGCTGCTCATCTACCGCATGAAGAAGAAGGACGAGGGCAGCTACACCCTGGAGGAGCCCAAGCAGGCCAACGTCACCTACCAGAAGCCCGACAAGCAGGAGGAGTTCTACGCGTAGACAGAGAGCCCGGAGTGCCTCACGCTTCCTCCCTCCCTCCCTGCTCCAAACCTCCCCTCCTCTCCTCCATCCAGTCTCTCTCCCCTCCCTCCTCTCTCTCTTTTTTTGGGATCAGACTGTGAATTTTTAAACGCAAAACCCGCAGCGGCTGAAGGAGGAAACGCGTCCTTGGCATGGGGGGCACGGGGTGCCCGGAGCAGCGCTGGGGTCACACTGGGCACTGCTGAGGTGACAGCGAGCAGCACCAGGGTCACACGGAGCACCCCGAGGTGACACCGAGCACCCCAAGGTCACATCGAGCAGCACCACAGTGACACCGAGCAGCACCAAGGTGACACCAAACAGCTTTGAGGTCACACCGAGCACTGCCAAGGTCACACCGAGCACCCCGAGGTGACACCGAGCACTGCCAAGGTCACACCGAGCACCCCGAGGTGACACCGAGCACCGCTGGCCTTTCTGCTGGCGGGAGGGACGGGACACGGAGCCGATGCCAAGGAGCCGATGCCAGGGCAGCTGTGCCCGGGAATGCCCTGGAGAGCACGGGATGGGCTGCCCACGGAGCTGCCTGGAGCTTGACTGGACTTTTCCCACCGCCACCACCAGGACTCTGGGATTCAGAGACCTCCTGCCAGCCCTGGGGCACAGGGGGTTTGCTTTGGATTTATTGCCCTTTTTTTTCCCATCCATAAAGGAAGGAGATTTCCTTCCCTCTGTCTCGTCTTTATTTTTTGGTTTTCTTTTGGAATGGGGTTGGTTGTTCTGCAAGATTCCCCTTCTGCTGGAAGAGAGAACGTGACTCTCCAACGCTCCTGGAACCTTGGGGAAAGCACAAGGGGCTGGAATACCTGGGATTCGCTCCTGGAGTGGGGAAAAAAGGAAATAAATACCAACTCTGGGGATGATCCCTTTGGATCAACATTCTGGAGAGCTTGTGGAGCTGCATCAGGACATCCCGGGCTGCTGCCATCCGGCCATCCCCTGGAATCTCTTGGATCCACATCTGGCTGCGGGGTTTGGCCAGGAAGGGACTTGGCTTGGGCTGGGTTTTCACTGTGACCACTAAAGCTCGGCTCTGCGGGACATTCCCTGGAGGAGCTGGGAATGGAGGAGCTGAATCCTCTCCCCGGCTCTTCCAGAGGGGATAGCAGAGCTCTGCAAGGAGTGGAATGCAGCCTAAGGAAGGAGATCCAAGCAGGGACCATCCCTGTCCCCTCAGGGTGTGGCTCCGGAGGTGAGGAAGGGGAGGCAGAGCTACGGCTCAGCCCCAGGGCTGGTTGGATCATTGGAAAGATCCCAAAATCAATAGAAACACCCAGGATTGATGGTTTTCCTTTGTTTTTGAATCCCCAGGACTGATGGTTTTCCTTCACTGGTGTTTAAATCCCAGCATAACCCACAGGGCTGGAGAGAACCTGACCCAGGTGTCCCCTCCGAGGCTGCCCAGGGTGCAGATTAATTAATGCAGATATTTCAATTACGGTGTTTCAGTGAGGTGGCTCTTAATTAGCTGGAGCCCTGTTTGTGGGGTTTTGTTGTCACAATGGTCGTGATCTCCATGGGGTCCCACAGAGACTTTTGATTTGCTCTTGGAACAATTTAAATGGGAAAATTTGGGGGAAAAAGTCATTGCTTTGTGAATTAGCCTGCACAGAGCCAGGGACACTTTGGCCCCTGAGGGGGTTGGTGGATTTAGGGTTTTACAGCCCTGGTGGGGGTTACACGACAGAGGAGATCCATTGTGGAAGGGATTTGAGGCCAGAAGAATATTTTGAATATATATAAATACATATGTCCACTCCTGTACACCCACAGTAACACAGAGTTGGAAAGAAATGAAATCCCTGGAATTTTTCAGCGCACTGGGATGCTCACATGAGATTTGGAGTTGGGAACTGGGAGCTTTGGGCTGCTTTTCCCTGGGATACAACACAAAATGACGAGCTGGCTTTGCTTTGGGATAGGGAACAGAGCCCCATGGATCAGCTTTAAATCCTCATTTTTGAGCTGTCAGCCTCAAAATCCTCGTGGTTTAGGTTATTGGAGCTTGGAGAAGGCCCTGTTGGATGTTTGGGGTGGTGGTGCTGGGAGTGACCATTTCTGTGTCCATCCTGGAGGGAGGATGAGGATGAGGATGAAGGATGAGGATGCTCCAAAGGAGGGAACACACTCAGAAGGAGCCTGGTGCCAACCCAGAGCCGCTTCGTGCTGCTCCTGAGGGAGTTTGGACTCCTGGATTTGATGATTTGGAGGATTTTGGCCCTGTTGGGATCACACAAAGGGGAGTGGCACAAGTCAAGGTCACCAAGGCCACCCAAAATCCCCATCTTAGGGGAAAACCTGGATTTAATCTTTGGAGTTTGCTTTAAAAAAAACCCTCCCAGCTTAATCTTTTTAATGCTGCTTTTCAGAGCTGCCTCTTTAATCTTCTTCATTCCATTTTTTCCTCCTATTTAATAGTCTGAAGTTCCATAATACAATTTTTTTACTCACTCAAGCTTAACCTCGTCCCTCTCAGCTGGTGTTAGGTTGTAATCCCGGCACTTAAATCCATCACAGCTTTGGGAGTGAGGCAAGCTGGAGGTGGGAGGGTGAGAGGAGCCTGGGCAGGACTTTTGCAGTAATTAAAATACGAGATAAACACAATAAAAAAAGGTGAACTGCAAATCAGAAGTGATGAAATAATTCATTGTTTATCTCCTGCTCCCATGCTTTTGCTCTCCGCCTGGAGAGGGATGTGAGCTCCAGGAGAATTTTTTGTGTTTGGAGCCAACTTTTTGTGGTTGTGTAATGATGCCACAGCCTCTTGTGTCACCTCAGCTCCACGGGGCTGCTGGAGTCGATGTTTGAAGGGGAAAGAAAGTCTGGTTCTGACCCTGTGCCTCCCTCCAAGGAGCTGGGATGGAGCTGAATATGGGCAGGGTTTTTGGGGAAGTCCATCTGCCCTGGAAATCCCGGATGAACGTTTCTCTGTGAGCAGAGCCACGGGGATGGACAAAGCCCCGAGGGCCGGTGCCTGGTGCAGGGGGAGGCAGCTGCTCCCTCCTGCAGCCACTCTGCTCCGGGGCTTTCCAGGGATTCCTGGTGGGAACACGGGTGTGGGAGAGCCGAGGAGTCTCCATCCCCCAGAGCAGGATTTTGGGAAAATGAATTCCAGCGGGAGCGAAAGCATCTCCAGCATCTTCCCTTCCCAAAGCCGAGTCTGGCATTGTCCCCTCTGCCCAAATTCCCATCCCTCATGGTGATCCCAGCCAGAAACAGCTGGAGCAGTGCCCAGATGTGCTGGTCCTTCTCCAGCTGTGCTCCCCAAGGGATTTTTCCACGGTTTTTCTGTTTCTTTTCTGCCAGTTCCTGTGTGTGTGTGATGCGCTGGAGCCGCAGGGAGAACCTTGGCTCTTCCAGCTGGATAATTTTAGGAGTTTCTGGAATTGCATGGTGGTTGGGCTGCTCTGCCAGCTGTGCCAGACTTGGGGCTCTCCCTGCTGGAGTTGCCGCAGGAGAATGATGGAGAATATCCAGCAGGAGAACAGCCAGGAGCTCCTGGGCCACATCCAAAGGGAAGGGAAGAGCAGAGAGCCCAAACCAGGGCTGGAATGGGGAGTTTGGGAAGGGCAGGACATGGAAGGGGCCCAGCAGCAGCAGGACCCAGCCCTCAGTGGGTTTTGCATGGCTGGGAGTTGTCCCTTAGCTCCAAAAACCTCTCTGATCTTGGATCTTTCAATGAAAACTCCAGGTGCCTCTGGTGGGATGGAGCTGTCCCTTAGCTCCAAAAACCTCTCTGATTTTGGACCTCTCCATAAGGAGCCGTGCTGGGGGATGCAGCTGCAGGGAAGGGGATGGGAAGGGGATGCCTCGGGCTGGGGGACTGCCAGGATGGGCTGCTTCACCTCAAATTTCCCCTCTCCCTCCCCAGCTTCCCTGGCAATCCCTGTCTGGGAGTTCCTTTGCCTCATCTCCAGCATTCTGAGCTCTCCCTGCTGCGAATCCCCAGCTCAGTTCCTTCTGCAGGAACAAACCCACCAGGCGAGAACTGGAATGGATTTTTAAATTCCCTTTTTCTCCCATAACCACCCTTGTAATGAACTTTTCCGCTCCAAGGTTTTCTGCCAGGCTCTGAAGTAACTCAGAGCTTTCAATCCAGAGAGGTTTGGTGGGAATGAGCTCCCTGGGATCCCTGGGGCTGTGGGAGCAGGGCTGGGGGCTCTGTGTGTATATAATATGTGTATGTAATTAATGTATATGTAGAGATGTATAGATGGGCACGGGGCCAGGGGGCTCTGCTCCTGGGGGGAAAAGGAGGAGGAAAAAGGAAAAGGAGGAGGAAAAAGAGGAAAAGGAGGAGGAAAAAGAGGAAAAGGAGGAGGCTTTGTCCTCCAGCACCCTGTGCTGGGCTCTGCAGCGCTTGGCCCCTGTCCCAAGGAATGTGGGATTCAGCCTTGGCCCCATTTCCAAGGGATGAAGGATCCCCTGTCCCAAAGGATGTGGGATTCTTCATCATTCCCTGTTCCAAGGGATGCAGGATTCCACCTCTCCAATTCCTGCTATTCCTCCCTCTCCTCCCTGCCCTTCACATCTCCCCGATCCCAGTCCTGATCTCAGTCCCAGTCCTGATCCCGATCCCTACCCCGACCTCGATCCCAGTCCTGATCCCAATCCCGATCCCAGTCCTGATCCCAGTCCGGACCTCGATCCCAGTCCCGATCCCAGTCCTGGTCTCAGGGGTTTGGGATCACCGGGGTGGGATCAGGAGACCTTTGCCGCTGTAGGGCCGGAGCAGGTCCGGGATGGGATCCCGGGGTGGATCCAAACCCCCGCGAGCTCCGGAGCCTCCCCAGTCCCGGTGCCGACAGCTGCCCCTTCTCTTAGGGGAGCCTCAGTCTGCAGATCCAAACTTTTTATTTCTATGTTTATTTTTCCCATCATTTTGATTTTTGGGTTAAAAAAAACCTGATTTTTTTCACACCCCACATTCCAGTGCTTCTCCCAAGACCTCCAGGGCTCCAGGGATTTTTCCTGCAGGAATTCCCCCTGTTCAGGGCCCCCTGGCCGAAATCACCCCAGCCCAGCTGACAATCAAAGCAGACTCCCGAAAAACAGGAATCCATTGCAGTTTGATAGAAAAACTTTTTAAAATCCTCCCCTTCTCTCTCACCACTGCATCTCCAGGATAAACCATCACCCACTGCTCCTCCTGTAAATAAACATCAAACCTTCTTGTATAAATTAAAAATAAAATAATTTTAAAAAAGACAAAAAAAAATTCCATTGATAAACATCCCAAAAATAAAATAAAATAAAAAATCTCCCTTTCCAGAAGATTGAAGTAATTCCAACTTCACTTTTTTTTGGAGCTGATTTCCAATCCCCACAGGAGAACAAAACAAAGATCTGGAACACTACAAATGTTGGAGTTTTCAATGAATCCGGGAGGGAAAAAAAATGCATGTAAATATTTTTAATAGGAGACATATCTTAAACAGAACTTTTTTTTGTATGTACATAACTCTCCTAGAGTTTAGTACTGAAATGGCTTCATAGTGTCTGTTTCAAAAAGGAAAGGAAAAGAAAATGTTTGTTATTGTTTTTGTTCTTACTCAATGGCCAAACTTTAAAAATAATGACAAAAAAAAAAAAGAGAAAAGACTCTAAAAATAATCTTTGCCAATGGATCTAGCACTGTAATGGTACTGTCTATTTTTTTTAATTATTTCTGTGCTGTGCCCATTTATAAAATGAGGAAAAGATGAAAAATAAAGTCATTTAAACATTGTCTGCCCAGGGCCTGGCCTGAGTTCTTGGTGCCGGCTGCTCCGGGCTCTGTTGTGCCCCGGGAGCGGAGGGAGAAGGTTCTGCCTGGCCCTGGGCCCACCGGGGTGGGCTTAATGGATGGTTTCCATGGCAACTGAGGAGCCTGGTCCATCCCAGCATAGCCATGGACGATCCCAGTGCATCCATGGGAGATCCCAGTGCAGCCATGGACAGTCCCAGTGCATCCATGGGAGATCCCAGTGCAGCCATGGGAGATCCCAGTGCATCCATGGGAGATCCCAGTGCAGCCATGGGAGATCCCAGTGCA